AAAGATTTTATTTTTAAGTAATCTCTACACCCAATATGGGGCTTGGGATCAAGAGTCACACACTCCACCAACTGAGCCAGCCAGGTGCCCTGAGAATCTGCATTTCTAACAAGCTTCCAGGCATGCTAATGCTGCTGATCCATGGGTCACACTTTGAGCAGGAGGTCTTAGGAGGAGAGTAACACTTCAATTTAAGGTCACGGTTCCCAATCCTAGCCACCCACTTGAAGAGCTGCCTGTGGGGCCACACACACCTCACACCAACTACAACAGGATCTCTGGGGCTGGGGCCAAAGGGTTGGTATTTTTTAAATCTCCCCAAGTGTGTGTAATATTCAGTCAATTTTGAAAACCCTGATTTAAGGGGATAAAAGGCAATGGCATTGTAAACAAAAATGAGGTTCATGCAAGGATTCAGGGAACCTTGAACAAGACAGAGAAGTGGGAAAGAGAGGAAGGAGGAAGGTGGGACTAGGAAAACCAAAAGGGGACAGCAATGGAGTGAAAGCAGAGCCCACGGGTATAGAGTGGGTGGCCAGCAGAACGTTCTAAAGACAGCAAACAGAAGGTGGCATTTGCCTACCCCGTGCCTCACTGAAGGACTCTGCAGGTAGCAGTGTGTCTGGTTGATACAAATGACATGAAAAATTACCAGGGAACCAATTTCATAAAGATTGCAGTGACTGGAAGCTAGAAAATCAGCAGAAAAGAAGGTCACAAAAGTGGATTCACAAATTACCTTGCTAAGAGATCTGGTGGTATGAGACAAAGTGAACAAGTAGGCTCAACTATGCAGGGGGAAGGGGTGTGTGTGTGTGTGGTTGCGTCAGTTTGGTTCGCAGGAGCATCAAGTGAGAAACGGCACCTGGATCTCACCAGGCCTCTGTCTCAAGGGTGGCAACAAGAGACTTTGCACCAAATATTCCCCCCGATATTTAAGGGGTTCATCCAAACCAGGACAAGGTGACTAAATCTGTGTTTTCATTATCCCTACTCTTCAGTGCTTCGTAGATTCTGATTACGTATATGCTTAGGCTGCCTTTCCAGACTAAAGAGTTCCAGGCTTTTTAAGCTATTCATATATAAAAGTGAATTTTCAACCCCTTGAAAATTTCATCTTCCCTTAGACCTATTCTAGTTCGGTTGCCCTCTGAGCTGTGGGGAAGAGAGTGACATAACATCTCACAACTTCTCCCCATGGGCAATGTTATATTTTCTGTTCTGTTTCTAACAAACTGCGGAGGAACCTGGAGGAGGTTTCCCAAGGACTACAATAATTCTAAGATCCCCATCCTGGATGGTAACTGACAGGTACTGAACTACACAGAACATCTGGATTCTAGACCAGCTCTGTCACCATTTACTGCTTCACCTCAGGCAAGTCACTCTGTCTCAGTCTCCCCAGGTTTAGACTGGCAAGAACAGATACCTGCCCTGGACCCCTCAAAGTTGCAAGAATCAATGAGAGACAAAAGCACTTACACACTTTTTAAACAGGGACCAGACTGAAGCTATGCCACTCAACAACTTTGATCCTGTCTTCTTGCACTTGCCCCATTATTTTAGTAAGACAAAAAAGAATGGATTACTCTTTACATTGTCCTTGATATTTTGAACTTAAATAGCAGACAAGATAGCATCAAACTCGATGGGATATTTGGGAACTGGGCAACATTTGGAAGAGAAGATTAAAAGTTTACTTTTGTCAGGGAGAATCTGAGGTAATAAAATAAAATGCCATACTCAGTTTAAGGTGGCTGGGTATTTAGTTTTTATCATATTCGGATATAAGTGACAAAAGAACATTAAGCTTGAAGTGGCTTAGTCGGTTAAGTGTCCGACTCTTGATATCAGCTCAGGTCATGATCTCATGTTCGTGAGATTGATCCCTGTGTTGGGCTCTGTGCTGGGCGTGGAACCTGCTTAGGATTCTCCCTCCCTCCCTCTCTTCCCCCCGCCCCCCCGCCCCATGCTTACTTGCTTGCTCTCTTTCTCTCTCAAAAAAATAAAAAATAAAAATTATAAAAAACCTTCTTATAAAAAAAAAAGAATGTTAAGCTTGAGATTACTTTAAGAGAGTAGAAAAGCTGGGTCTAGGAAGTTATAAGATCAAGAGAGGAAAGATAAACTAACAGATGCACACATGTTTAGAGAAGTCTGTAATAGCAATAATCTAAGAGGTGATGGTTCCAGGCACAGGCCTAATGTGGCAAGAACTACTGAAGGAGATGATGAAGTTTCTTAAAAGGGCAGGAGAAAGTAAGGCTAGAGAGAGGCTCTTCAGACTCTGTGATGACCAAAATCCAGGAGTTCTCAGGTAAGAACAATATTGAAGCCTAAGACATGGCCTTGGACAGGTGAGGTGGGAGGGGTATGATATACACCTTGGTGAAGGGTAAAGGCAGAGGAAAGATTAGAAGTTGTCATAGAAGGATCAGCAGAAAAGGAATTCAGAGAGAAGAGACCACACATTCATTCATTCATTCATTTATTTATTTATTTATTTATTTTTTGAGACCACACATTTAGAAACAGGAATAAGAAGGGAAGTAAAGGTATAAGTGATAACAATAGGTGGATGAGGCAATCGCTTGCTAAAAAGAAAATAAACTCAGTAGAGAAACGAAGTGGCTGAGAGTTGCCAGCAAGAGATGAGGCAGGCAGGGTGCTATGGTATCCTGGAGCAGCATACCAAAGTATGATCTGTAGGCTGGCACCAGGCCACAAGCCGTGGTATAACAGTCCTCAACGAGGTAAATACAGAAACGGAGAATAACTCTGTACAGACTTTTACAGCAATTTGGCAGACTGACTTTCTGTCTATTGAATCTAATAATAAAAACTGTGGTCTTGTATTTTGTATGTCACTGGTTTCCTTTTCCATTTCATTTTTCAGTTTTTGTGTTTTAAAAGGAACTGATGCATGACAGACTAGAAATCAGAACAAAACTGACATTGCATCATAGATGCTTAGAGAAGCACTGTTCTGGAGGTGGGATTCCTGAGCACATAGCAAATCTGGATCATGATACTTGTGTTTATTAAGAAGTCTGAGGTCTAGCTGAGGAAGCTCCCAAAGAAAGGTTTTATCACCACCATTACCACTGCTAGTCTTAAATGTAAATCTTTATAAATGCAAAAAAAAAAAAAAAAAAAAAAAAAAAAAAAAAAGCTTAAATGACTTGACAGTAACAAAAATGGTTATTATAGTATATCCACTCAAGGGAATTATGAACCCTTATAAATTATAATTATGAAGATTGCATATTAACATAGAAAAATGTGCGTGACAATATTAAGTGAAAAAATAATTGAGAAAATTATATGACTACCATGACAACATTTGAAGTATGTACACATATGCTCAAAAACTACAGGGGCACATGTAAATATCAATCAATGTGTCATACTGATAGGATTACATAGGATAGTTCTCTCTTTTTTAAACTTTATAAAAAAGTTATACTGACTTTATAGTAATTTTTTAAAATATAGGTCCTTAGAAGGGGAGGCATCAGTGCTTGCTCTGGCAGCACAAATACTAAAACTGGAATAATACAAAAATTAGCATGTATACGGATGACATGCAAATTCATGAAGTGTTCCATAAAAAGAAGGAAGGAAGGAAGGAAGGAAGGAAGGAAGGAAGGAAGGAAGGAAAGAAAGAAAGAAAGAAAGAAAGAAAGAAAGAAAGAAAGAAAGAAAGAAAGAAGAAAGAAAGAAAGAGAGGCATCAATGTGGCATTTATTTTATGCAACATCTAATGCAACGCAATGCCTTGGGTATCAGAGCTCAGATGGTCGTCTTTCAGGCAGCTCACAGTGTTGTGTCAGTCTCTGCAGCCATGTACACCCCTTAATGGATGGGAAAGTAGATGTAAGGATCGAGTTGTCTATACCTTCTCATCATGGGAATGGAGGGATCATGATCAAGTGTGCTAGCTCCCAGTCAAGCAATCACATCATTAAACCAAACCCCGATTCTAGCTTCTTCCATATAGAAGATTTGCTGAATATGATTTCTGCCTGACTTCTGCTAATAATCAAGAAGCATTCACTGTGTTTTCTTAAGAGGATGGGTGGGGAAGGTTCCAAAACATTAAGTCACAGCTCCTGTTCTCAAGGACCTTAATAATCTTTTGGGATAACATGTACAAATATGCAACAACTAGAGGGGAATTAGTAAGCAACTTATAAACAAGTATACAAATTATATCCAATGACTAAAAGAACAGAAAGTAATCAAGATGGCTCAGGCAAAAACACTGACCAAACTGTAGCAGGTAAATCAAGCCAGATACTAAAAATAGCCACGGTCTGGGAAAGAGCAAAAAGTAAGAACTGTAGAAAGGGGAGAGTATGCTGAAGAATGTGGAAAGATGAGACTGGGGAGTTGAAAGCAAGGGTAGATAGTGATAAGCCCTGGGTGCTAGGCTAAATTTAGATCCTATGATAGGATCCTATGAAAGAAATAAAGCCTATAAAGAGGAGGTGAGTAACTTGAACAGAAAAATAAAATAATAAAGGATATATTTCATTTCAGAATACTTTCCAACACAAAGCCAGAAAAAAGACAGAGAAGACCATCCTCAATCACAAGGACACTTCGGTAATATTAGAAAATGTCTTCTTGGGGCACCTGGGTGGCTCATTTGGCTAAGTGTCCAACTCTCGATTTGGACTCAGGTCATGATCTCAGTTGTGAGACTGAGCCCCATGTTGGGCTCTTTGCTGAGCGTGGAGCCTGCTTGGGATTCTCTCTTTCCCTCTCTCTCTGCCCTTCCCCCTCCTAAGGCCTCCTAACTGCATTCTCTTGTGCTCCCCCCTAATCAGTAGGACAGCCCAATATCAATACATCTTTTTAAAAATAAATGGTCGGCATGAGCACCATTCCACCTAAACTCCGTCCTGGTATGGTGTGTTTATGAAGGTATGTCACAGCTGGCTGTCTTCGAGCAAAGGGAAGGGAAAGAGTGCCAAGAAACCTTTAGGAACATGCATCTCAAGAAAACTGGCACAGGAATCAGTGATTAGAAGACACACAGATTGCAATCATTCTTGTGAAATGTAGGCCCCCAGGGACCTTTTACAGAAGTTAACAAGGGATAATCCTTCACTTCTGACGGCCTCTGCAGATCGCCTGCCATTTGGTAAGGTAGTGGCTGGTAAGTTACAAGAGGCCCTCCACTCCATGGCCTTTCTGCCATTGAAAAGAAGGAAAAGCTTGTTTCCTACATGTATCTCAAGAGACAGGCACGGTTGCTGAGGGGTTGTAAGAGTAGGTCTACAGGATAGTCTCAAATCCCTAGCAGCCTTCGCTAAGCACCTTCACCCTCATCAAATCTCTCTTGTTAGGGTCCAAATCAAATGGAAATAACATAAATATAGAGAAAAATAATTTTCTCTTTAATCATAAATGTTTTCCTTCCTCCCATGCCACAAGCCAAGTAACCTTTAGCTGCAACTTTAACACAGGTGACTTGACTTCACAGTGAAATCACATGCAAACTGCTATCTGGCCACTGGCACAGTGGGCTGTGCTGGGCTCCACGTATGTGCTTGCTTGCTTTAGCAGCAGCTGAGGAATACAAAATTCTGTCAAGGAAACCAGGTGAACTCTTAAAGAACAGCAAGTTTTGCCCTCTGTCCAGCCGCCAGGTCATCAAAGGGGCTACTTACATGGTTTCTGTCTTGGGACAGCAGCAATATCCTAAGGCTTTTCATGCTTGAGCTTCTGTCTAATATGTCAATTGCTTTATCAAGATCATCTTGGTTCTTCAGCAGGATGGAAAGCTGGGACACAGACACAGAAAAAGGGAATCATATAAAATATGTCTTTAGTTTAGAAACAGGCTAAATTAAAAAAAAAATACCTGAATGAAAACAATCTAATTGGATAGTATGGGGTCGTAAAATTAATTCAAACCATCTAGGTATTTTTTCTTTTCCTTAGTGTACAATTCAATAATTTTTAGTAAAGTTACAAAGTTGTGCAACCATCATCATAATTCAATTTTAAAACATTTCCATTGTTTCAAAAAGATCTTGTGCCCATTTACAGTCACTCCCTCTTCCCACCGGTAGCCCCAGGCAACCATGAATCTATTCTGTCTCTGTAGATTTACCTCTTTTGGATACTTCACATAAATGGAATCCTATTAATTCATACATGTTCAATTCAGTTCATAGTCTTTTGTATCTACTTCTTTTGCTTAATGTTTCTGAGTTTATCCATGCTGTGCAACACATCAGTAGTTTGTTTCAAGATACTTTCTGAGAAGAGCTTCCTCTCTAAAAATACTCTTTTCTCCAAAGCATCAAATCCTAAACAGTTAAAGCCCCATATTTCTTCCCACATTAATTAAATATCTCACCTTAGCCTGTGCTGCAATTAACACAACAAGCAGAGAAGGCATAGGAGGAGGAGGGGGATAGGCAGAGGATGAAAACTGTTACTCAAATAAGAACACGAATTTAGGCCACATAACAGAGTTTAATATCTTAACGTTTAAAGATAAAAACCAGTGACTAGAACTCAGAAACAATCTCCTCTGTTTTCATTCCCCTGAAGTATTAAAGAGATCGCCCTTGAGGGTATGGATAAGTCTCACTTGCTGTTAAATGCAGAGGACACTATGAGTACTTAGTATTAAAAAATGGAAAAGTACACTTTGCCTAGGACCCAGCAAATGTCAGATCTTACACGTTTGTGGCAAACACAAAATCAAGCAAAAGTCCAATTCATTTCTTCAGTTCCCATTTTATAATAAAAGGAGATGGCAACACTAAATTCTAGGCCAGGAGAAAACAAAGAGCAAGAACAGTATTTAAAATAAAATTTCAAGGGGCACCTGGCTGGCTCAGTCAAAAGATCATGCAACTCATGATCTTGGGGTTGTGAGTTTGAGCCCCATGTGGGGAGCAGAGATTGCTTAAAATAAATAAATAAATAATAAAATAAAATAAAATTTCAAGACAACTCATGGAATGGGAGAAAATTTTGCAAATCTTATCACATCGTAAAAGAATTCCTTCCTGTAACATTCAAAGTATGAATAAACAAGAACTGTTGTGGGAGGTGGAGAGAGATAAAGAAATAACTGGAGTAGGCTTTAACTTAAACAAACAAACAAACTACAATTGTGCAAAAGTATGATATGGGTCTAGTATCCAGAATATATATAGAACTCTTACAACTCAAGAGGACAAAGAATCCAATTCTTCCAATGGACAAAAGATTTGAATAGACATCGCCCAAAGAAGACAGACAAATGGCCAATAAGCACCAAAAAGACACTCCATGTCATTAGTCATTAGGGAAATGCAAATTAAAACCACAATGAGATACCACTTCGTACCTACTAGGATGGCTATAATTTAAAAAACAGATATGCAAAAACCCAAAAAGTAACAAGTCTTGATGAGGACATAGGGAAATTATAACTTTCCTATGCTGCTGGTAGGAATGTAAAATGGTACAGTGGATATGGGAAGGATGGACAGTTTCTCAAAACGATAACATAGAGTTACCGTAAGACAACAGTTCTACTCCTTGGTATATACTCCAGAGAACTGAAAAAAATATGTGCATATGAAAATGTGTACACAGATGTTTATGGCAGCATTACTCATCATGGTCAAAAAAGTGAAAACAATTCCAGTATCCAGATGGATACACAAAATGTGGTTTATCCATTCAATGGAATATTATTATCTTGAAAACATTATGCTAAGTGCAAGAAGCCAAACACAAAAGGCCACATGTTATATGATTCCATGTATATGAAATGTTCAGAACAGGCAAATCCAAAGAGACAGAAAGTAGGTTTGTGTTTGCCTGCCAGGTGCTAGGGAGAGGAGGGGATAGGAAGTGACTGCTAATGGATACAGGCCTTTTCTTTGGGGTATCTGGAGTAGATAGTAGTGTTGGTTATACAACTCTGTACATATATTAAAAACCACTGAATTGTACAGCTTAAAAGGGTAAATGTTATGGTGGGTAAATTGTACCTCAATAAAGCTATTAAAAACATAAGTAAACATAAAATAAAATACCAACCGATTTCTCACATGTGGTTCTCAAATCCTGACGTGGCAAGGTTTAGAGGGCAAAGAAAAGAAAAAGGTTGAGGGATTTTTAAATTAATAAAATGTAAACTAGTCAATTCTCGGTCATTCACATTAGCAGAGCATGGAAAGACATGCATCATCTAAAATAATTACTAACTACTAATTATGTTTGGCTTTAGAATTAACATCTGCATAAATATTTAAATAAAGGAACGACTAACATTCTGGGAAGCCACTTTATTGCCCAAAGAATTTGAAAATGGATTTTGGGACATGTGGAATTCTTAATGGAAAGAGAAATGAGCACTAAATCATTCAGAAAAGTCTTTCCTCACTAAAGAATACCTTCTTTAATGCTGATTAGCTGGCAGACTCCAGCCTTGCTTTCTATGCAGTGACTGAAGCTTGAGCTGCAATTTTTAAAAGTTCATCTGCATTACTTATTAACTATAGAGCTAGTGGTTTCTTTTCCAAATCTGCTGTATTTCTAAAATTTGTCACAAAAAAACAAGAGATCAGACAGTCTTATTTTTGTTAGCTATTGGGCAACATATCCAATTGTAGTTGTATATTTTGTATAAAAGGGGATTGGGGGGTTTTAGCCAACAAATCTCAGCCCCTATAGATGTCAGCCCCAAATTATGGAAGAAATTCCTTTTTTCTCCAGCTGAAGGTTTTTTGCTTTTATTTTTTAAAGTATAGTTGACACATAATGTCACATTAGTTTCAGGTGTACAACACACTGATTTAACAAGTCTGTATGTTATACTGTGCTCACCACAAATGTAGCTACCATCTGTTGCCATATAACGCTACTGCAATACCATTATATCCCCTCTGCTGTACCTTTTATCCCCATGACTTCTCATTCCATAACTGGAAGCTTGTATCTCTCACCCCCTTTACACATTTTGCCTACCTCTCCCCTCTGATAACCATCAGTTTGTTCCCTGTATTTATGGGTCTGTTTCTGTTTTTCATTTATTTATTCATTTGTTTTGTTTTAGATTCTATCTATAAGTGAAATCATATGGTATTTGTCTTTCTCTGTCTCACTTATTTCACTTAGCATAACACCCTCTAGGTCCCTCCATGTTGTTGCAAATGGTAAGATCTCATCTTTTTTATGGCTGAGTAATATTTCACTCTCTCTATATATACCATATCTTCTTCATCCATTCATCTATTGATGGATGGATGGACACTTGGGTTGCTTTATGGAGGAGATTCTTAACTCTTTAACCAATAAAACAAAACTACACAGTAAGGACCCAATTCTCAAAGAGCCAGGATGTTGCCCAGCTTTCTTGTCTTGTCCCCCAATTCAATTCCCTCAAGATGCACACTTTTTACTAGGCACCAACACACTGCCTCTCAGACTAATGCAAAGCATCAGCCCAAGCAGACTGTAGCCTCTAGTACCTTTCTTGGAAAAGCAGCCAAGTAACTGACACTCAGAAGAATCCCTTCCTGGGTGACATTCAAAGTATGAAAAAATAAGAACTGGAAGGAAGGGCAGGGGACAGGACGAAGAAGAGTTAAAGAAATCACTTGAGTAGGTGCTAACTTTGGAAATAAACTACACTTGGGAGTTAAACTTTGAGAGAAGAGTCCAGTATTTATGATTGTCAATAGAGGAACTACCCACCAGTTTTCCACACCTCTCCAGCCCCTCCTAAACCTCTGCTTCTTGTTAAGGTTGTGCTGGAAAGAAAAAGATAAGCTACAAAACATAACAGAGACAATATACATCCTGGCCCCAGTACCATACCTGTTCCCACCATGGAGTATTAGAGCTACCACCACTGAATGGAAGTAGCTATGGAATCCCCCATGTAGCAAAAACCAGAAATCCCAGAATTATTGAAATTAAGGAAAGAGGCTCCAGAAAAGGAAAACCTGCAGATGATATTAGAGGAACAAACTAAAATATCCTCAGTTAAGGAGAAAGAAAAAGGTAGTCAGCTGTCACCCCATCTTGTCTCCATACCATCCATCTACTTTCTTACCTCATTATTCATGTAATGAAGATCAAGAGGCTGCCCAAACACTGTTGTCACCTTGTGTTCCACATCTTCATATCTAACAGGCCGGCTGAATGCTATAATTCTGAAAAGGAATAGGAAGCATCGTTAATTGTATATTTTAAAAGTCAGATTTGGAAAGCTAGGACTTCTGAATATCTTCCTGTTCTTTTAAACATAGGATTCTCTTTTTCTCCTTCATACAGTTTGACTTTCTATTTTTTCTTTTCTTCTCTTACCTACTTTATTTATTTTTTTTACCTTTCTCCTGAGCATCACAAACATTGCTCAGTCCCAATAATTGTTCTACCATTTCAGCTCAGATCTTTCTATAAATGACAGTTTAGTATCCAAGCAGGACACCTGGGGCGCTTGGGTGGCTCAGTCAGTTACATATCCGAATTTGGCTCAGGTCATGATCTCACGGTTCGTGAGTTCGAGCCCTGCATTAGGCTCTCTGCTGTCAGTATGGAGCCTGCTTAGGATCCTCTGTCCCTCTCTCTCTGCCCCTCCTCTGCTTATGCTCTCTGTCTCTCTCAAAAATAAATAAATAAACTTAAAAAAAGAAAAAAGCAGGACATCTGGATTTAAACATTAGGTTCTAAACACTCTTGTTAGGAAGAAAACCTGGAGACTGGAGCAGTGGTCCTGAAAACATGGTCTTAACTCCTAAATGACTCAACTCCAGGACCTGAAAGGTCTTATCCAAGGCTGATGCCAGAGGAATCTCAATGCTGATTATCTTCAGAATTGAGATTTCCTACCTAAGAGTCAAAAGAATTCCCCTTGAGTTGGTTACATGCCTAAGTTTTTTTTAACAAGTGACACATATGATCATATAAGTAGTGTTGATATTGACACTTTTCTAGAGAAACTCATTAGGTCAGTTCAAAAAACAACTTTTTAAAAAACGTTTTATTTATTTTTGAGAGAGAAACAGAGTGCAAGCAGGGCAGGGGCAGAGAGAGAGGGAGTCACAGAATCTGAAGCAGGCTCCAGGCTCCAAGCTGTCAGCACAGAGCCCGATGCAAGGTTCGAACTCACGAACCGTGAGATCATGACCTGAGCCGAAGTCGGACGCTTAACCAACAGAGCCACCCAGGTGCCCCCAAAAAACAATGTCTATAAATACAGAGTAGAGTAAGAACTTGTTCAAAGATGTGTTAAAAGAATCTGTCAATTAAACATCACAGCAAAATTTAAAACTGGGGACAGATTAAACATACAAAATGAATGAAACAGAAGAATGAAATATACAAAAAATTGACAAAATATTGGTAATATCAAATCTGGGTTACAGGTTCAGAAGGGTTCAGTATAACATTCTCTCTACCTTTGTATGCTGCTGGTAGTCAACAATTTTTGATGTACAAAAGCGGCCATATGGGTCCAACCCAATACATTACAACTTAAATACTTAAGATAAAAATAAACAATGAGATAAGTGAAAACAAGAGAATATCAGAAAGTAACTCATATATTCTCTCTCTCCCTCTCTCTACGTGTGTGTGTGTGTGTGTGTGTGTGTGTGTGTGTGTGTGTGTGTGTGTATACACACACACACACACACACACACAGAGGAATGCATAGGATTAAAAAATATTGGAGTGGAGAAGGTCTTCCTAAGCATTATATAAAATACAGAAGACAAGGAGGAAGAAGGCAGATTTAACAACAAAAATTTAAACTTCTGATAGCAAAATGATCAGCCCTCAACAAAGTTAAGAAATATCAAACGTGGAAAAATAATCCATGCAAAATCAGTAAGACAAACAACCCAACAGAAACATAGACAAGGATATTATGACAATTCAAAGAGTTATGAATGACTAATAAACACATGAATTTATGCTTAATGTGATGGGGGAAAATATATATCAAAACCACCTTCATCTCTTAGTAGCCTAGACTGGACGAAATATGACTAGTGCTTGATAGAGTAGCAGTATTCAGCCATGGAGCCTCTACAGTTCTTGCCCTCCTCATGCTGAGAAGTGTGTGGTTTTTTTACATCTTCTCTGCTCCTCCAGAGTGGGAAGTGGTATAACCAGAGTAAGAAGCAATAAACCACAGGACAGAGGGATCTAAGCTACTGGATTTTAATGGAATCTGACCAGATAATTTCTTTAATGTTCTTCTGTGCCAGGCTGGCACAAATAAGTAGGCAGCATAAAAGCTTCCATCATCCTAGAACTGTACTATTCAATGTGGTAGCCACTAGCCACATGCAGCTGGTTAAATTCAAATTGATTAAAATTAAATTTTAGGGGCGCCTGGGTGGCGCAGTCGGTTAAGCGTCCAACTTCAGCCAGGTCACGATCTCGCGGTCCGTGAGTTCGAGCCCCGCGTCAGGCTCTGGGCTGATGGCTCAGAGCCTGGAGCCTGTTTCCGATTCTGTGTCTCCCTCTCTCTCTGCCCCTCCCCCGTTCATGCTCTGTCTCTCTCTGTCCCCAAAAAATAAATAAAAACGTGGAAAAAAAAATTAAAAAAAAAAAATTAAATTTTATACTGGTTCCTCAGTCTCACTAGCCACAAGGCAATGTGACCAGTGGTTACTATACTGGACAACAAAGAAAGTTCTTTTGGACAACCTTAATAGCATACTTCTATCAACCAGTCTATCCTTCACACAAAGCCTAACATCCCAGGAAGATAATTTCTCCATAACTTTTCCTTTATCCATCACCACCTTTCATTTTTGGAAATTATATTGAATATATTAGTTCATATCCCACCTGGGAATCCATTCATACTGTAATCCTTGTATTTTTTTTCCCTCAAACCAACTGTGCCAAGGAATGATACTGTGTAATGCTATCTAGATATGGGTTATCTAGATATGGACATTTTCTGGAGACTTTTGAGAGAATGGCTTTCCATTAATTCCTAATAGCAAATCATACCTCCTTCGTCAGCATCTCAGCAACAGGGGCCAGTCTTCCTGAAAAAAATACCAGGAGACCATTCGTATGTCCCTAGCACACCATTAGAAAAGGATCAGGCTCAGATAAATTCTCCTGCATTTTGCCTGGCAACAAGCCATTCAAAACCTCAAAAGCAGCCCCAAAGTCAAGATCAGAAACCAGGACTATCAGCGTTGGTAAGATCGAAGCTGCCGCCATCACCCTGAGTGGTAGGCATTTTTAGCCAATGCTTCAAAGAGGGGACTAACACCTGTGACAACCACTCTCACCAGTGTCCAGACAGGGAAGCTTTCCAAGGGAAGGAGTTTGAATCTACAGTCCTCTTCTGCCCTCCTGGGGCTAAAAGGTAAAAGCGTTAGGAGCCGGATCCCTACCCTTCCAAAGCAAAGGGAAACAGAATGGATACTTAGCATAGGTGAATGGAAAAAGACTATTTCTTCCCTCTTTTCTGTACATTCTAATTCTCTAAGGGCCTACAACATTTAGATATATACTATCCATATTCCCTGCAAAAAGTAAAGAAAGCCCACAATCATATTCTCTATAAAATCCTAAGACATAAAACACATGAAACCAGAGCTGTCTGGCATAGTGCAGCTGCAACTTGGCTTCCCCGTACCAACTTAAAAGTCCTCAATTCCACACATAGTACACAAACAGTGAAATGCAATGGCTCCTGAAAACAGCTCCATAAAAAGAGAATGCACAGTTTTCGAAATCTTGATACCAACACTCTGCTGTTCAGGCTTTGAAAGGCCATTCCTACCTGACCACCTTAAATATTTGTGGTTTCGATCTGGCAGCTTCTCTGAAACTAAACACATACACTTTCTCAGTGTAAGTCTGCTCACTGTAACTACATACCACTTTGGGAACAGGAATTCAGGAGAGCGTAACCACATAATTAGGCTCCAACACAATTGAGCTTTTGATTTTGTATCTACTTCTGAAAACTCTCTGCCAGTCTGAGTTTGGCAATCCTTCCAAAACCCAGTCAAGTCAGAAGTGTGAAAAGCAGCAACAATCAAGTGACAATTCAACTTCTCTGCTACTGGCAGGACACAGGATGAGCCGCTGGTGACAGAAATCAGAAGACTTTCCTCCCTCCAGGCCTGAAACAGCCCTAGAACACACACCGCAGTAGCAGGGCTCTGGCTCCGCAGACCACAGTGTTTCCACCAGGCAACCTCTGACAACCTTGCAGGCTTGTTAACATATCTTTTTAAGGGAGAACAGCAGCCACATATCTGGACTTGTGCTAACAATGTTTGGAGGCACTAATGTCCTCTGGTGGAACTAATCTAAGAGGAAGAGCTTATTCTCATGGGTTTGCTCTTCACATTTCCAAATGCTCAAAGCAAAGGCAAAAGTGGGGTATCAATGAGAGAGACTGGAATAGCAGGAAACATATTGAAAAGCACACTCAGGCACATATGCGCCACATGCGTGCACACACAGGGTCCCAATTATCCCACTACCAGAGTTCTGTATGCTTTTCAAAAGTTATTCCTTAAGTGGCGTCTGGGTGGCTCAGTCTGTTAGCATCCAACTCTTGATTTCAGCTCATGTCATGATCTCATGGTTGTGAGATCAAGCCCCACACTGGGCTCAGCATTGATAGTGTGGAGCCTGCTTGGGATGCTCTGTCTCTCTCTCAAAATAAAGTTTATTTAAAAGTTCTTCCTTAAGGAGCATCTGGCTGGCTCAGTCAGAACATGCGATTCTTGATGTTGGGGTTGTGAGTTCAAGCCCCATGTTGAGTTTAAAAAAAATAAGTTTTTCCTTAAATAACTTTAGAAATTAAGTGGAGTCCTATTTTTCTCCACTGAAAACTTCTATCTTGGTTTCCTACAAAAAACTAAATACTAACAATGGAGGAAAGGACAAAAGGGTTTCATAACATTACTTTCACTTCCCTAACAAGGTAAGATACTGAATATAGACTGAAAAACTCCCTCTTTCTATGTCCTCAAATGATCTGAAATCTTTCACAACTGACAGACTTGATGCAGCTTCCCATGACCCTGACACATTATAAAGAAACTTCCAAGTCACTAACCTGGCACTGATGTGGACAAAGCCAGGGGCCAGGGCCACTCTACTGGGCTGGAAATAGCACCACATCACAGGAGAATCTTGATCCTCTTTTAACTAATTTTTTATTTTTATTTTTTGAGAGAGAGAGAGATAAGAAGAGAGGGGCAGAGGGAAGAGAGAGAGAGAAGAGGAGAGGGCAGAGGGAGGACAGAGAGAGGAGAGGGGCAGAGAGAGAGAGAGAGAGAGAATCTTAAACAGGCTCCACACTTAGCATGGAGCCTGACATGGGGCTCAATCCCATAATCCTGGGATCATGACCTGAGTGGAAATCAAGAGTCGGACACTCAACCGACTGAGCCACCCAGACGCCTCCTGATCTCCTTCTGATGCTATCAGGTGGCACAGTGTCAGTGTATCTGGAAGTCATAACTGAGTAGGGCTGGAGTCCTGACTTCCTCCCCTAGCAAAATGGTGGACCCCACAGGAGCAGAATAATAGCAGAAGAGTAAAAACAGTAAAAGCAGTTGAAATGGCTTCCATTCCTAAGACCAAAAATAAAGTTTAATTGGTAAGCCAAGCCAAAAGTAAAAATTGCCCTTTTATGCCAAATCAACCCCATCATCTAGCCAGGGAGCCCACAGGGATCACTCCAGGGAAACAGCTTCCATAAGCTCGATGCTTTCTGTGAACCGCAGCACACGTGAACACAACCACTGATCAGAAGGCAGACTTACCGCCTTTCCCCGTTGTGCTCAAACTTGATTCTGACGTCACTCTGTCAAAGGAATGATAGACAGGTTAGCGGGTTCTCTGGCATGTGTTATCCTGCCATTCCCAGGTAAGCTTCAGGTAGTCCTTTAGCAACCTTAGGCAAACATCCCTGATGGCTCCCGTTACAGCGTCTCTACCTCATACGCATTCCTTTCCAGTGACTTGTAGCCTTTGAGTTCTAACTTCAGGGGCAACAAAGCTCTTAGGACAAGATCTCTAAGTGGCTGCCCAGCTCAGCTGCTATGCTGACATGTCATTTCTAAGTTCCTACACTCTATTTCTACAACTGGCTCTGGATTTTCTCCTACCATATCACCTCCTGGCCAGGACACCTTTCCTTCTTGGCTGATATGACTGAAGAGAAAGAGAAATCTTGGGATGGATACTTCCTAGCTATAAGTCCACAAGCAAGTTACTTATGCTCTATGAATCTTAGTTTTCCATGTGTACAGTGAGGCTAAACATAGCTGATTTGAAGAGCTACGAGAACTAAACAACATAATATACACAAGATACCTCATACATAGTAGACATGCGGTTGCTGCTGTTACAATGGATTTCCATGACCCTTTCAAGACTACCCCTGGTGGCATAAAGCAGGACCCTGGACAAGTTACCTTAGAAGTGTCTCCAGATTTGTCTTAGCTGATTATCATGGGTAGCCTATGGGTACCCTATGGACCTATCTTGTTTCTGTACTACCAGTGACAAGCAAAGGAAATGGTATCTAATATTTGTGCCTAATATTTATTAAATGGATTGAGCGAGAACAGAATTGAGTGTAAACGTCAGAAATAGGAGGAAGTAGAAGCATTAGAATGTTAAGAAACAAATCAAGGAGGAAGAAATACTGTAAAGAGCAAGCGAGTTTAAAATGGCAGGAAAAGGGAAGAGATATTACAGAAGAAAAGAACACGTATAGTGAAAAAATAAAACTAAGCCTGTCAGGATACCAACAAATAACAGAGATGGAGGAAAGGAAGAGTGGACAGTGAGTGAAAAGTATACTGAGAAAGAGAAATTAATAGGCTGTGGCTTGGAAGAAAGAAGAAAGTTTCAGAGTATCTTTAGATGAGAAACACAGAGCAGACAGAGAAGTCGACAGAAACAGGACAGAATGCGAAAGGTGGGGTGGGTACATAAAGAACTTTTTTCCAAGAGATGAGAAAGCTAGAATTCTCTTATAGTCCACTGAACTGGACGAGTGGTTCTAATTTACATCCTAAAAATGACTGAGGATAGGGCACCTGGGTGGCTCAGTTGGCTAAGCCTCTGACTCTTGGTTTCAGTTCAGGTCATCATCTTGCAGTTTGAGACTGAGCCCTGCGTCAGACTCTACACTGACAGTGTGGAGCCTGCTTGGGATTCTCTCTCCCCTGCTCTCTGCCCCTCCCCCACTCATGTCTTTTTCTTGTCCTCAAAAATAAACTTTTTTTTTT